AGGGCACCAGCATGGCTCAGTCAGTTGAGTACCCAATTCTTATTTTTGGTTCAGGTTATGATCTCATGGGTCGTGAGACTGAACTCTGCGGCAGGCTCTGTGTTCAGTAAGGAGTCTGCTTCAAGATTCTCTCCCTCGATCCCTACCCTCACGCGCGCGCTCTCTCTCTCTCTCTTTCTCTCTAAAATAAGTAAATAAAATCTTTAAAAACAAACAAATAAATAAATATTTTAAAAAATTAAAATAAAATTAAGTAGGAATAGAAGGAGACTTCCTCAATGTGATAAAAGGCATTTGTGAAAGACCTATAAGTAAAATTCTACTCAACAGTGAAAGACTTCAAGCTTCTCCCCCAAAATCAAAGATAAAACAAGAATGCCATTTTTGCTACTTCCAATCAATGTTGTACTGAAAGTTCTAGCCAGATCAATTATGGTAAAAAAGAAAAAAAGGAAAAGAAAGAAAGAAAAGAGAAGGGAAATGAAACAAAATGTATCTAAATTGGAAAGGAGGGGCGCCTGGGTGACTCAGTCGTTAAACGTCTGCCTTGGGCTCAGGTCATGATCTCAGGGTCCTGGGATCAAGTCCTGCACTGGGCTCCCTGCTCTGTGGGAAGCCTGTTTCTCCCTCTTCCATTCCCACAGCTTGTATTCTCTCTCTCGGTGTCTCTCTCTCTCTCTGTTGAATAAATAAAATCTTTTAAAATAAATAAATATATATGTGTGTGTATATATATCTATGTATATAGATATATATGTATAATTGGAGAGGAAAAAGTAAAAGTATTTCTGTTCTCAGATGACGTGAAACTTATATATAGAAAGCCCTAGAGAATCCACAAAAAAGTTATTATATCTAATAATCAAATTCAGCAAACTTGCAGGATATAGGGCTGACATTACAAATTGTTATTTCCATACACTAATAATGTTTACTAAAATTAAGCAATGTAAAGATAAAATTAAGAAAGCAATTTCATTTGTAATAATATCAAATCAAAAAGAATAAAATACTTAGAAATAAATTTAACCAGAGAGTTGAAAGACTTGTACACTGAAAATTACAAAACCATTGCTGAAAGAAACTTAAAAAGACTTAAATAAATGGAAAGACAACCCATCCATGTTCATGGAAACTCAATATGGTTAATATCAATCCTACAAGTATGATCTAGATCCAATGCAATCCCTGCCAAATTCCCAACAGTCTTTTTTGCAGAAATGGAAAAAGCCATCTTAAAATTCATATGGAATTTCAAGAGACCCCAAATAGCCAGAACAATCTTGAAAAAGAAAAGCAGGGGTCTGTTGATAATGGTGGAGGCTATGCAGATGTGGGGGCCAGGGATGTGTGGAGTATCTCCCTACCTTCCTCTTAATTTTGCTGTGAACCTAAAACTGCTCTTTAAAAAGAAAGCAAAATTTAAGGACTTACACTTCCCGATTTCAAAACTTACTAAAAGGCAGTGTAATCAAAACAATGTGCTCTGCCATATGGATAAAACCTATAGGGGCGCCTGGGTGGCTCAGTGGGTTAAAGCCTCTGCCTTTGGCTCAGGTCATGATCCCAGGGTCCTGGGATCAAGCCCCGCATCGGGCTCTCTGCTCCGCGGAGGGCCTGCTTCCTCCTCTCTCTGCCTGCCTCCCTGCCTACTTGTGATCTCTCTGTCAAATGAATAAATAAAATCTTAAAAAAACAAACAAAACCAACCAACAAACAAAAATATAGATCAGTGAGATAGAATTGAAAGTTCAGAAATAAACCAATACATCTGTGGTCGTTTGAGTTTTGAAAGGGTGACAAGAGCATTCAGTCTGGGCTTTTCGCAGTAAGCAATGAAGGAACTATTTAAGGGTTTTGAGGAGAGTGAGCTGATTCAGTCCATGACTGCAGAGGATGACTTTAGTTCTTTGAGTGAAAGATAAATTGCAGAGACCTAAGAATAACTAGGAAATCACTATAAAGTCTCTGTTGGTGTATTTGTTCATCATCTATTTACCGATTGCAGGACGTCCCGGGCACCTCTCAGGTCCACTGAACCACACAGAGCCCCCGTCCTCAAGCAGTCTACATTCCAGCAAGGTAAGACCGTTAACACTACCGATACACACACACTGTGTCAGGTGATTATATGTGCCCTGAGGAAAAATCAAGCCAGCTTCGGGCACCCAGTGAACGATGCTGCGTGGAACAGTCAGCATTGAGACCTGAACGAAGGAGCCATGAGTCTGTCTCCCTGACGAGTGCTGGGACTTTGGCAGAAGCTGGGGACTAGGAGCCAGTGCTGAACCAAACCAGCCAGAGACCCTGATACTTGAGATAATATTTAAACACAGCCTGTAACAAATAGAGAACCAAAAGGGCAAACCTGGGTCCTGGATGGGGAGAGGCTATCTGTGGGAAGAGACAGAAAGTAGAGGGTAGGAGACTGAGAGATTTGAAGGATCCAGGACCCCTAAGCAGATTTCAGCAGGGCAATATCTCTTTCCTAACCATGGCTGATGAGTTTCTCATTAGTAACAGTCAAGAAAGTGTATTCTTTCACCATGCATTAAGAATAAGCCCAGTTGGGGGCACCTGGGTGTCTCAGTGGGTTAAAACCTCTGCCTTCAGCTCAGGTCATGATCCCAAGGTCCTGGGATTGAGCCCCACATCAGGCTCTCTGCTCAGTGGGGAGTCTGCTTCCTCCTCTCTCTCTCTCTGCCTGCCTCTCTGCCTCCTTGTGATCTGTCAAATAAATAAATAAAATCTTAAAAAAAAAAAAAGAATAAACCCAATTGCCCTAGAAAAACAAACAAACAAACAAATAGGAATGGGGATAATTCAGCAACCAAACTCTATAGAGGTAAAAGACCTGGTAAGTTCTTTAAAAAAACATGTCCTTACAACCCTTCTCAGCTAAAAGGGATTCTTAAGCAGAGATACCCCTTTAAAAAAATGATCTTCCTTCATATGCTCCTCATAAAATGATACAGCTTCTCTGAACAATGGTTTGGCAGTTTCATCTAAACCTGCACTTGTCATGAGACCTGACGATGGCTAACTTAGACATTTATTCCAGAGAAATAAAAACTTACGCCCACATAAAAACCTGTTCATAGGGCAGCTGGGTGGCTCAGTCAGTTGGGCATTTGCCTTTTGCTCGGGTCCTGACCCCGGGGTCATGGGATGGAACCCCGTGTCGGGCTCCCTGCTCTGCGGGGAGTCTGCTCCTCCCTCTCCCTCTGCTCCTTCCCCTGGCTTGTGATCTCTCATACTCTCTCACTCTCTCTCTCTCAAACAAATTGACTAAAGAATCTCAAAAAACAAACAAACAAACAAACCCCAACCTGTACATAATTGTTCATAACAGCATTATTTGTAATCCTCAAGAAGGGGAAACAACCAAAATGTCCCTCAAGAGACGAGTGGGTACACAAATGGCGGCACATCCATACAATGGAATACTTGTCAATAAAAAGACACGGACTGTCACACACAACAGTTTAAATAGAGTTCAAGGGATTATGTGGAGTGAAAAGCCAGTCTCAAAAGATCACATACTGTGTGATTCCATCTATGTAACACTCATAAATGATGAAATTGTAGAGATGGAAAATAGGTTAGTAGTTACCAAGCGTTAGGGGAGATTGCTGGGGGAGAATGGGTAAGTGTGACTATAAAGTCACAAGAGAGAGATTTGTGGTGATGGAATCGCTCTGTATCTTGTCTGCGGTAGTGAGTCTGCACATCTACACGTGTCACCAAATGACACTATGACAGAAGTATGGAACACATCAGTACCGATGTCAAATCCCCCAGCATCCTTTTGTATTGTAATCCTGTAAGGTATAACCACTGGGGGAAACCGGATGAAAGATGCATCAGACCCATCTGTTAGGTTTTCACAACTTTCTAGGAATCCGAAACTTTTTCAAAATTAAAAAATATTTAAAGATTTTTGAAACCCTATTGACCTTAGGTCTCTGGAAAAGGCAAAACAAAAAACAAAAATCTGTAGATAAATATCTAAGGAAAAAAATGTCTTCCATTTATTTCCGGTCAGAGTTTATTTTAATTGAACATACTTGTATTTTGTGGAATGATATAGAATTTTAAGTGTACCTTAGAATAGCACGGATTTTAATCAGAATGCTGAAAAAGCCCTCCACTGCTGCTGAAAAAACCCTCCACTGCTTCTGAAAAAGCTGAAGTCTCACCTTATAAACAGGCATTGATTCAGGACCACTTAGGGCAGTCTGGCTTAAGTCCAGTAGCCAAAACAATCACCTGGTCCCTTTATCCCACCAGGTCAAAAGAGATCAGCAGGGTTTGCAGCTGTGGTGAGTGAAGTTCAGACTAGTCCACATGGGGCTTGCCAGAGCAATGCAGCTATCTCTAATGGGGCTGTTAGTCTCCTCTTTTGAGTGTCTGTGTTTGTAGAACCATCCTTGGTGTTTACTTCTCAATTCCAGGAAGTTGTTCCACCGTCACATTTATGACCCATGATTTGGGGCTGTCAGATATTTGAATGGATTTAAGAGATATTTGATTGGACTAGTTCTCTACTCTTGGAAGTCTTACTTGCATCACTCAACTCAAATTCCATTGTTTCCTCCAAATCTTCCCTGACCAAATCTTCCCTGACCCATTAGAATATATTGTTTTTCTTCCGTTGACCTCAACATGTGACATACCTTCAACACTTCGGTCGCTCTCCCATGGCTTATAGAATCTACAAACATCTATACTTCCCCTGAATTTTTAGTTTTGGACGGCAAACAGCCAATTATCAAAGAATCTACCATAGTGTTTCTCACAAAATAAGGAGTAAAGAAGTCTTGGTTAAATTTCGTTTACACAAATTACATAATAAACTTCTGCCTAAAACTGAGGTCTTACGAAGTGGGGATTCTCAAGAGGTAAAATTAGAAAAGAAAAGAAACTTGGCCTTTCTAAACTGCAAGAAGGAAAATTGCATTTAATGAGATAATTAAGTTTCACAACTGGAAAGCAAATACCTTTCATGTTCTGACGGAAACTTCCATGTTCTGGACAAAACTTCAATTCGAATGCAGGTGTTCTAGACCAAGATCAGCATTTAGTGTAGTTCCCGGCACAGAGTTAGCCCTTAATAAATGTTACCTACTAACTATTTCATGAATTTTAAGATGCATTTCTTCCACATTTGACCTGTAGAATTTATATACAGTCTATAATTCACAGTATTTTATAATCTGTCAGCCAGAGGCAATCTTAATGTCGTTGTTTAAAACTCTCCTCCTGACACAATCTGGTAAGATCAAGAAAACACCACCAGCAAATTATCTTAGGTTCAGTGAAATATGGGCATTACAATTGTGCATCACTATATCCTGTTCTAGTGCCTGTCATATAGTAGTGTGAATCTGGGTTGAGTAATAACTAATAGGATACTCTTTGTTTGTAATCTAAAAATTTTTGTAAAGATTTATTTATTTGACAGAGAGTGAGTGCACATAAGCAGAGGGAGCAGGACAGGGAGAAACAGGCTCCCCACCAAGCAGGGAGCCGGATGCAGGTCTCGATCCCAGAAACCCAGGAACATGACCTGAGCCGAAGGCAGATTCTTCACCAACTGAGCCACCCAGGCGCCCCTATAATCCAAATTTTAAATTGCCTTATAAATTGGAAATGCGCCTGTAAAATAAGAGCTCCCTTCATCTGGCAAATCTATAAATGTGAGTAGACCGGCACCCTCGCTCTAGCTCATATTCAGACATTACCAGTTACTGCAGGGAAAGTGCAAATTAAAAAGGCATTCTGCAAAATGTCACAAAGGAATTGTGCAATACTGTGAAAATTCACGCATTAAAGGGACAAATTCTTAAGTGCCAATGCAGACAGGTGCCCGTTGGCCTTCCTTGTCAACAGAATTGGTCTTGAGCTGTTTCTTGCTTTCCTGGGGGGAGATGCATTCCCTGTGTTATTCATTACCAAAAGCAGTGCAGGTTCCTTCACCTTAAAAAGCAATGTAGATTTCATGTTTCAGAAGTAAAATAAACATGACTCAAGTGAGATTTATCTAAAAGAATCACAATGGAAAGAAAGTATCACAGATTTTTTTTTCCCCTAAACCTAGTAGGGTAGATTTCTCAGTTTCTTTGAAACTTTTTGGGAAGCTACAAAAAGAGGGGCACCTGGGTGGCTCAGGTGGTGAAGGAGCTACCATTGGCTCAGGTCATGATCCTGCAGTCCTGGGATTGAGTCCCAGGTGAGGCTCCCTGCTCAGCGAGGAGCCTGTTTCTCCCTCTACTCTTCCTCTCTGCTTGAGCTCTTTCTCTATCTCATATGCTCTCTTTCTCTCTCTCTCTCCCTCTCAAATAAATAAAAAAATTAATAAAAGCTTTATTAAAAAAGAAAAAATGGAATGATACAAAGAAAATTTTGCAGAATGTAAGAGAATTGAAGAATTAATATACAAATATATATACACAGAAGGGAAAAAAATCTGCAATTCATCTCTTCTATTTTACTAATATCACTAACCACCATATTATAACCCAGGCATGTGATCTCTTTCTCCCGCTACACAACTGGACATTCTGTCTGTGCAATAATCACTAACCAGCCACTAAATCCTGGACATTCTGTCTGTGCAATAATCACTGTCCTTTTCCCCATTTCCACACCTACTGCCAGTTTAAATTCAGGCTCTTATTATCTGACCCTAGTCATAATTGCTTTCTAGACCATTTGTTCTACTCCAGCCTTTCTGCTCAGAGGCATTTCATGCTGATGGAAACAGAGGATCAGTTTCACACTCAAAAATCTTCTGAAACTCCTTCTTGCCACTTTGATGGCTAACAGACATCTCAAATTCAGTATGTCCAAAACTGTGACCCTCATCTTCCCCCCCAACAGACTCTCACTTCCCATAATTATTCCACTTCAGTTGATGGTAGGCATTTCAAAATCAGTATGTCCAGCTGGCAATGCCTTATTTATGCTACAAAACTCACTCTTCCTATTGTCTTCCCTGTCATTCCAGTCAATCAAGGAAAAATCCCTGAATCTTTGACACATCTCTTCTTCCCACACTTAACATCTAATCCATCAGAAAAAAATAATCTGTCCACTCTAATATAATAATATTTGATAAATATCCTGATAATAAATATCTGGATAAATAAAGAGCTAGAATCCTGCGACTTTGCAATGCCTCCACTGACAGCCGGGCTGAGCCATTATCAGCTTCTTCCTGTGCTGATCTGATAGGTCTCTCTTAGTTTCCCATCAGTTTCTCCTGGTACTCTACAGTCTGCTATTCTCATCACAGGACAGAATGATCCTTTAAAAACACAAATCAGGAGCGCCTGGTTGGCTCAGTTGGTTAAGTGTCTGCCTTCAGCTCCAGTCCTAATCTCAAGATCCTGGAATGGAGTCCCCCATCAGGCACCCTCCTCAGCGGAGAGCCTGTTTCTCCCTCTCCCTCTGCCCCTCCTGCTCATGCTTTCTCACTCTCTCTCGCTTGTTCTCTCTCAAATTAATAAATGTTCAAAAATTTTTTTCACCTTCTCAGTGAATACCCTCTATAAAATCAAATCCTCCCTATCACCCAGGACCCTTGAACTGCCTTATCATGCTCAACCTTTATCTTTTCATGGTGACACTCACTGACTTCTAACATTCTAGTTTTTTTTTTTTTTTTCTTTTTAATCAGAGAGAGGGAGAGCACAAGCTGGGGGGAAGCTGCAGCAGGCAGAGGGAGAAGCAGACGCCCCACTGAGCAAGGAGTCTGATGCAGGACTCGATCCCAGGACTCTGGGATCATGACCTGAGCCGAAGGCAGACGCGTAACTGGCTGAGCCACCCAGGCATTCCAACTTCTAACATTCTATACAATTTTCTTATTTCTTATTCTTAATGACTTTCTCACTCTGCTGCAATAGAAGTTCCACAGGCAGGGCGCCTGTGTGGCTCAGTGGGTTAAAGCCTCTGCCTTCCGCTCAGGTCATGATCCCAGGGTCCTAGGATCGAGCCCCGTATTGGGCTCTCTGCTCAGCAGGGAGCCCCTTCCTTCTCTCTCTGCCTGCCTCTCTGTCTATGTGATCCATGTCTGTCAAATAAATAAATAAATAATCTTAAAAAAAAAAAAAAAAAAAGAAGAAGAAGAAGTTCTGCAGGTATAGGAATAGATACACACTATCGTGTTCATAGATACACACTAAGCACCTATTACTTTGCTGGACATATTGTGAACTGAATTAATTAAAGGCCAACCAATTTAGAATGGACTTTCTGGGCATGGTGAGAAAAATGCCCTTAGCACAAGTTCTACCCTGCTTTCCCATCTTTTTCTCCTACTTCACTGCTTTAATTTTCTATACTTCAGTCAATGACTAGAATAACCACATTTAGATAGTTTCCGCGGAAGTAAAATATTTGGAGAAAGACACGTTCCCATTGAAAGCAATTTTAAGTCTGGGTCACTTGTCAAAATTACAGTGGGGGACAATTGCCACTGTCTCTCCTAATCATTCCCAAGGTGGCTGCTTGCACAGTTCCTAAGAAGTGGAGATGGAACAGCGCCATCTGCTGTCAGCCTGCTGATCTTGATGAAATAACTAATTTGGGCCCTTCAGAAAGTGATTTGTTCTCAAAGATATTTTAATATTTAGCCTTTGAACTTGGTTTTGTTCTATCGCCCTTGTTGTCAGACAAAACTTTTTATCTGGCCATCTAAATTTTTTCTTCTTCTTCTTTCATGAAAAGGTAAGTTTGGGGCATCTGGGTGGCTCAGTTGGTAGAGCATGTGACTCTTGATCTCAGGGTTGTGAGTTCAAGCCCCACATTGGATGTAGAGATTACTTAAAAATAAAATCTAAAAAAATAATAATAAGTTTAGGGGCCCCTGGGTGGCTCAGTTGGTTAAGCATCTGTCTCAGCTCAGGTGGTGATCCCAGGGTCCTGGGATTGAGTCCTGCATTGGGCTCCCTGCTCAGCAGGAAGTCTGCTTATCCCTCTGCCCCCTTCCTACTTGTGCTCTCTTTCTCTCTCTCTCAAACAAATAAATAAAAATCTTTAAAATCAATCAATCAATCAAAATAAATCTTTTTAAAAAAGAAAATTTCAGATCTCATCTCTGGAAAATCAAGGAAAGTGTCAAGATGGTAATTTTAATTTTTCTGGCGTTTTAGTCATTCTTCAATATGATTAAAAGTTGTGAATAAAGAATATTTTCTTGCAGTGAAAATACTCTTTTCATGTCCTGATTTTCAGAAATGCAGGTGTCCTTCTTTTTTCTCCGTGACTATTACATTTATTGCTTATGAAAGAGTCTATAAAATAAAGGCAACATTGGGTTCTCTAATTCTAAATGTCATTGGTGCATCCAAGAAGTATTTATTGAGTGCCCACTGTATGCCAGATTTTGTTATAGGCAATGGTGATTCAACAGAGTGAAAACTGAAAAATTCTCTGTCTTCAAGGAATTTAGATTCTGGTTTTTGACTGTTCACTTGTCTAGCTTGTTTGGGAAGACACAAGACTTGCTCTCCCAGCAGCTAATACTCAACTGAGATGAAACAAAAAAGAAGCAAAATAAATAAAATATATAATATGCTGGATGGTGTTATGGATTGAACTGTGTCCCCCATCCAAATTCATATGTTGAAAACCTTACCCTTGGTAGATCAGAACGTGATGTGACTATTTTTGTAAATAGAATAATTGCAGATGTCATTAGTTAAGATGAGATCATAGTAGAGTAGTGTGGGCCCCAATCCAATACGATGGATACCCTTTTAAAAAGGGGAAATTTGGACATAGAGGCACACAAGGAGAATGCCATGTGAGCATGGCAGATATCAGAATGATGTGTCTACAAGACAAGAAATGCCCAAGATTACCAAAAAAATTCCAGAAGCTAGGAGAGAGGTGTGGAACTGATTCTCTCTTAAAGCCCGTAGGAAAAACCAGGTCTGCCAGCAACTTGATCACAGACGTCTAGTCTCCAGATCTGTAAAGGAATACACTTCTGTTCTGAGTCTCTCAGGTTTTGGTACTGTTTCTAGTGTCTTCCTACCTAGAAAACTGAAACTGAGGAAAATATTAAGG